CACTTCCAGCCTGATCCTTGAGCCTCTCCTCCACTTCCTCCCCCTTCCAGCTCCCTCCTCCCAGATTCTCCACACCCCCTTCTTCCACCCTCTCACCTCCTCTCTCCCAGGTTCTTTCCCACCTCTCTCCCCAGTTTCATTGACTCCCCCCCAGTTATGAAAAATACAGACTGTTTAGTTTTTCAAACCAAAAGTGTCTTTATTTTGTCATCGAGAAAGGGGGGTAAGGAGGTAGGAAGGGGTATATGGAGGGGTGGCAGTGAGGGGTGAAGCAGAAGCCCCTAGTGGGGCAGCCCAGCGGACACTGTCACTGCTCCCCTAAGGAGAAGCTCTCCCTCAGGGCCTCCCAGATGTGGAAAGCCCCCGATGGGCCTGATGGATGGCAGCCATGCACAGCTGCTCATAGGCCCTGCCTAAGCGGTCCACCTCCACATCCCATCCTGGCAGGAAAGCCTCCCCCTTCCTCTCACACATGTTGTGCAGGACACATGTTGTGTGTCCCGTCGATAGCCTCCTCCCCCCATAATTGGGGAAGCCCAGGATGCCAAACCCTCGGTGACAGTGTCCATATCTGCCAGGTGGATGACTGCACAGCAGGATGCTGTTGATGACCCTGACCACCTGCAGAAGGAAACAAACAAACCGAGAATCACAGGGGTGCCAGGGCACCTGCCACTTTCCCTCTTCCCCCTCTTAATCCCTGTCTTTCCCCCCCTCCCACCACCATTCACCAGGAGCAACCCCTGCAATCACCACCCCTGGCAGAGCTTTGTGAGGGCAGGACAGAACTGCTTTTCCCTATGGAAGCCCATTCTATCCTTCCATCTCCCTTCTGGGACAATAGCCCGAGAATGCCATACCTGCATGAGCAGGGCCCTGATGGTTGATCTCCCCATGCTGAACTGGTTCCCCATGGATTGGTAGCTATCTGGCATGGAGAGTTTCCAGAGGGCGATGGTGACGGCGATGCGCTTCTGGAGGGGAATGGCGGGACATCCTGTCACCTCAGGGCAGGTGCAAGCCACTCACAGAGCTCAAGGAAGGTATCCTTCTTCATTCTGAAGTTCTGGAGCCATCGTTGGTCTCCTCAGCACTCCAGAATGATGTGGTTCCACCGGTGGGGCACCGTGTCTGGACCACGGTGGGTGGCGTCTGCTCCTGTAGCTGTTCCCCCACTTACCAAGGAGAGTTTCCCAGAAGCCCTGGGAATTGGGTTCTTGCAGAACATGGGAGGCAGCCTGCAGAAAGTGCTGCAACAAAAGCTGTAGGAGCTGAAGACTGCCCGGAGGCAGCTCCAGCTCCATAGTTGAATATGCTGTGGTGTCCTGAATCAGGGCAACCAGAGCAAGAAGAGAAAATGCTTTGCTGTCCCTCAGAGAGGTAGGCAAGCAAGCAGGGAAACCTGAGAAACAGCTGTCCTTTAAGCACGAGCCTCAGATAGCCTCAAGCAGCAGCCACACGAGACAACTACTGACCTGATGCCCTGCCTGAAGTATCTCTTCTGGAATAGCTTATTCCAAAATAAAGCTGCTGAGTAGACACAGCCTAAGTGGAGTATTTTGCATTTATTCTTACTGATTTTCACCCTATTTAACCCGAGACCATTTATCCAATTTGTCCAGATCACTTTGAATTATAAGCCTATCCTCCTAAGCATTTGCAACCTCTCCCAGCTTATAATCATCCACAAAATTTATACACATACTCTCGATGCCATTATCTAAATAATTGATGAAGACATTGAACAGAACCAGTCCCTAAATTGATTCCTGCAGAATCCCACTTGTTATGCCATTCCAGCATGACTGAACCATTAATAACTACTCTCTGAGAATGGTTATCCAACCAGTTATGCGCCACCTTATAGTAGCCCCATCTACATTTTATTTCCCTAGTTTACCTATAAGAAGCTCTTGCGAGACTGTATCCAATGCTTTACTAAAGTCTAAGTATACCACATCTACTGCTTCCACCTTATTCATAAGCCTTGTTATCCTATCAAAGAAAACTATCAGGTTGGTTTGACATTTTTACTTACAAATCCATGCAGACTGTTACTTATCACCTTATTATCTTCCAGGTGTTTGAAGATTGAGTACTTAATTATTTGCTCTATTATCTTTCTTGACACAGAAGTTAATCTGACTGGTCTGTAGCTACCTGGACTGTCCTTGTTTCCCTTTTTATAGATGAGCACTGTATTTTCCCTTTTCCAGTCTTCTGGAATTTCTCTTGTCCTCTGTGACTTTTCAAAGATGATAGCTAATGGCGTAGATAACTCCTTCAGTATTCTAGGATGCATTTCATCAAGCCTTGGTGACTTGAAGACATCTGACTTTTCTAAGTAATTTTAACATGTTATTTTCCTATTTTCACTTTTAAAACTACCTCCTCTTCTCCAGTGTTCACTCTTGTAGACATCCAGTCACCACCAACCTTGGTGAAAACAGAAACAAGTCATTAAGCACTTGTGCCATAAGCACATCTTCTGTTATTGTTTTTCAAGTGCAATTTCATGATAAGTCAACATTTCATTTACAAGATTGTTCATAATTTTTTTAAAAATGTTCCTGTTCTATTTTACAGAGCAAAAACAAATTTTCAACCTATGTTGTTGCTTCAGGACTTCAGTATGGGGCTGAAGAAGGAATATTTCACTACTTTTTTAAGGTAGACTTTTTCAAGATAATTTGGTGACATTTAGTTTACTATTGCACAATTCTAAAGGCAAATTGAAAAGGAATTTTAAAAACTTCTAACAGTAGTATTACTGTACATTGAATGTCTCTACAATCAAGGCAGAAGTCCTGATCCAGTGCCTCTTGAAGTGCATTCTCGTGGGCTAGACTTAAAACTTAAATTGACATAACTGTTTTGACTCACAGTGTGGAAAAAATACACACCCTAATTGACATAGTTATTTTGGCAAAATCCCCATTGGAGTCACAGCTATATTGACAGACAATTACCTAATGTTTGGGGAGATATTACTGTGCCAGAAGAGCTCATCCTTCTGACAACACATGCTGTGTTGATATTATGGGACTATACTGGCATAGCTATGCCAATATGGAATCATAGAAATTTAGAGTTGGAGGAGAAATTGAAAGGTCATCCAGTCCAGCTCCCTAGCAAATTCTGTCATGCCTGTGCATCTAAGCTATGACATCATAGGCTCTGTAGTGTGAACATGGCAACATTGATCAGATTTTTACTTCAAAATACATTGTCATTCTTCAGTTTTTCAGCAGTATACCAGTATATCCTTTGTTGGTAAAGGCATATCTATCATGGAGTTTCAATGGAATATGCAGCCTGCTTGAAAGGATTAAAAAACAATGATTTTTTTTTCAGTATAATGTGATTCCCCCCCCACCCCCAGGTTTATTTATGTCTATGTTAATTTTATATGCTTTGGGATGTTATTATTATTATTATTATTAATAATAATAATAATAATAACATCAACAACAATAATAATAACAACTAATAATAAAGCTTTCCCAAAATTGAGCACTACTGTAAAAAATGCCCCTAAATTTGTAAGCTCATTATAGGCTGACAGTCAGCTGCTCACAGAATTGATTATTCTGCTGTGGCTGACACACATATCCAAAAACTGAACATTAAAATCCAATATGTACCTCGTTTCACCAACTGTACATATGTTCATTTTTGCAACTCTGATTATATATGACTCTCTTGTTTCATTTGTATTTATTTTCAGACAGCTTGGCTTGGTGAGGTTCCTGCAATACCAGTTTTTGGAGATGGAAAAAATTTTATTCCAACCATTCATGTTGTTGATTTAGCAGCGTAAGTATGCTTTTTAGGGATGGCCTGCCTTAGAAATGTTTAATACTTATATATGTGCCAAAACCATACCTAAAAGTGGAGATTTCAGATAGCTGCTACCATATATATATTTTTTTACTTTTTATTTTTTAAATTGCAGTTATACCACAGTTGAATCACATCATTTTGAGGCAAATGGAGTTTTAAATATTTCCAGGATGAAACAGGCCTTCTGTAAATAATATCTTGCTGTAATATTTAGGTCATGCTTTCAGGAAATTCCTAGAAATACCTTGTCCAGAACACAGCACCAGTTAACCAAATAACATGGAACTACACCACAGTTTTTTAAACCAAAATGGAAAGGATAAGGAGTAGTTTGGTGTATGTATATTTTCTAGAGACATTGCTCCATATTCCTGGATTGTCTTGGCCAAACTGAGATATCTAGTTATATTATCATACAAATAAAAATCAACATGAATATAGCATGATTTGGAACATTTACCTTCAGAGTTCCTATATGCTCTTTGCCTTGGGATATCTTTTATACTATATTTCACATTACAGTCACAATATTTTCCCTTTCACTAAAGGTCATTGATTCAATTTGCTGTATTGCAGAGTGCTACAAAATATAGCAGATCATAAGCCAAGAACTCTCTACATTGTGGCAGTGGATGAATCTATACATACTCTTCAGGCCATAGTTAAGGTAAAACAGTTAAAAGACTTTTTTGTTGTTTTTGTTCAGGTATCTTTTTAGTCCTGTAAATCCTCAGTTCTTACTTTGTTAAAAATCCCTGAATCTTGACTCTTTTTGAAATTCTTTGTTCCTTTGAACTGTAGGAATATAGTTTGTTCCTTTGTTTGACCAAGTTCCTTGAAGCAGAATCCAGCAAAGTAATCTGGAAGCTGCTATGAAGTGATTTTGGCTATCTATTATTGTAAAGTGCTTTAGAGGTAATTGGCAATTTATTTGCCTACTTACATTGAAACCTGAACATACAGGCAGTCCCCGACTTACGACTGAACATACTGGCACTGAGAATTTCAGATGGTAAACCAGGAATAGCAGAGTCTTTTGCTGGTAGTCTGCAGAATGAAATATTTTGAGAACCATGTAGTGGGAATATTGGGAAGGAAAGCAGAACCATGATTGGCTCTTGGCTTTACAATGTGGTTCATGAAATAGAAAGCTTGCAACGTTCCTGTCTTAGTACAGGTTGCTAAAAGGATCTGATATACAGTTCAGCAGCGGTATTCCATCATGTCTCTAAACTTGCACTTGTACACATATGTTCTTTAGATTGCTAAGTGTATCAAAAGTATGAGTTAGTTGAATACCAAATTTAAAGTGTACACAATATTGTTTTCTGACAGTGTATTAGCAAAAACGTTGGACCAGGAAAGATCCAAAAGATTCCAAGAGAAAATGCTTTCTTAAGCAAAGACTTAACGGTTAGTATTTTGTTTCCTTTTTCTAATATCTTCTTTAAAGAAGAGACACAGACACACTCACCATGCAATGTATACTTTTCTTATTGTTTAGAAAAATATGTCAACAAAAGTGTATAAACTATATTTAAAAAAGAAAACAAAGAAACAGCTTATAAACCTCACAATAAAAAACAGAATGATGGGGAATTTTTTCTAGTATGTGGAGCCTGATCCTAAGGTTCTCCAGTGACCATACTGGAATTGATATGAGTTGAGGATGTTAAGCAGCTCATAGGAGACCCACATAAAACTGAGCCGTCACATAGGGAATCAGATGTAAATAGTGTTAATTGTGAGCTATTGTGACTAATCAGAACATTTTTTATTCTGATTAGTCAAAAAGTTGTGGCAGATATGTATAGTTTTTGTATTACAAGTAACTCAGAGTAAACTAGGTAAGAAATGTCAAAGGCACTTTGGAATGTGTCCCTTTAATATCTCAGTGCAGGATACCTGGGTGAATATGGTCTGTGTAACACAGGTTCTTCTAGCCTTAAAATCTATGAATAAGAACAGATTTAGGAGTTAAGTGAGATGGAATTAATGACTGCATTTTCAATGGTTACAGTAACAAATGCCCTCGTATGCTAGTCTGCAGAATGGTGTTAGGACTGGGAGAGACTAACAATAAATATTAATCTCGCTATATATTTTAGAGATTTGTGCATGTGTGTGTGTGTGTGTGTGTGTGTGTGTGTGTGTGTCTGTCTGTCTGTCTGTCTATGAGTCTGTTTGTTCAAGAACTCTTCCTAAATGGTAAGAGCTACGACCACCAAATTTGGTATACAGCTTCCTCTTATCCTAACTTAAAGCAAGGTCAAGGTTTGGTTGTTCCAGGAAAATGGACTGTACCTGGAATTTGATTGTTTTCCATAACATGGAAAGGGAGGTGACTGAACAGAGGGACACTATACTCACAGTCACCACTGTAGGCAGTATGTGCAGGGAACAAGTATACTGTAGAGTGATCACAGGGGGCAGCTGCACCACCAAGGCAGTGTCCAGATGGGAACAGGGCTCACCATCTTGCCTGCCACCAAGCCAAATAAATTGCCCCTCCACCCCAGCTCCAGCCTCCCACCATTCTGCCTTCAGCCCCATTGCTGAACCAGGGGGGAGGAGAAAGCCTCACAGGAGGAGAAAGTTAGGAAAAAATTCCTAACTGTCAGGGTAGTTAAACACTGGAATAAATTGCCCAGGGAGGTTGTAGAATCCCCATCTCTGGAGATATTTAAGAGTAGGTTAGATAAATGTCTATCAGGGATGGTCTAGACAGTATTTGGTCCTGCCATGGGGGTAGGGGACTGGACTTGATGATCTTGCGAGGTCCCTTCCAGTCCTAGTATTCTATGATTCTATGTTTCTCACTGGGCCACTCAGCACAGCTACAGCCCTGGCCTCCACTGCAGGAAACACAGCCTGTGCCCCCACTAATTCCTCAGTTAGAATTACCTGTTACTCCTCCTGGAATGAGTCCAACCCTGAACAAAGATGATTGGTTCACGTCCCTTGATCTACAAGATGCGTATTTCCATGTGACAATACACCCAGCACACAGATGTTTTCTGAGGTTCATCGTGGGCACGCAACACTTTCAGTACAAAGTCCTCCCGTTTGGCCTTTCCTCCACACCCAGAATGTTTTCAAAGACACTTGCGGTGGTGGCAGCGTACCTTCATCGTCAAGGCATCATGATCTTCCCATACCTGGACGACTGCCTGATCAAGTGCACTGTCGGCCACTCAGGTCACACAACACTTATTCACAGATCTGGGCCTTGTATTGAACATCCTGAAGTCTTCGCTCATACCACAAAAATCCCTCATGTTCATTGGGGCACGATTAGACTCTGTGACAGCCAGAGCCTATCTTCCTACAGAAAGGTTTCACAATATTCAAAACCTCACACAGACATTGTCCATCATCCCAAGAGCGTCAATATTTATGTGCCTCCAACTCTTGGGACACATGGCGGCGACAATATATGTAGTGCAACATGCCAGACTACGCCTCAGGTGTCTGCAACATTGGCTGCCATCCATATATCGTCCGGGCAATTGCGACATACACAGGCTAGTAGCACTGCCACTGACAGTGAAACGATCCCTCGCGTGGTGGAATTCTCCGACCAACATGCTCTTGGGTGTTCTCTTCCACCGTCTGCATCCCACTGTCCAAGTTACTTCGGATGCCTCTCTTCTAGAATGGGGACCCCACTGCGAGGGCAAATTCACTTAAGGCCAATGGAATACTCAGGAAGCCCTTCAGCACATCAAACTTCTGGAACTCAGGGCAGTATTCAATGCATGCAAGACATTCCTTCCCAAGATCCATGGTCAGAGTGTTCAGGTCTTCTCTGACAACACCAGGGCCCAATCAAGGTTCCTGTGTGCGGAAGCCATGAAGCTATGGAACTGGTGTATCAACCACAAGATCACTCTCATGGCAACATATCTACCTGGCAAAAACAATTCCATTGCATACGCCTTGAGCAGACACCTGTTTCCTCAACAGGAGTGGGAACTCAATCACAAAGTGGTCCTTTCCATATTCCAATGCTGGGGGCACCCCAGTATAGACTTCTTTGCCACAGATAACAATACTAAATGTCCCAGATACTGTTCCAGAGCCAGTCTGGGCCCCAAATCTCTGGGGGATGCATTCCTGATCAGCTGGGCTCACCACTATCTTCTCTTTGCCATCCCTCCTAGTCCACTTCTCCCCAGAGTGCTGAAGAAGATAATCGATGACAGGGCAACAGTGATACTAATAGTGCCCTTCTGACCCAGACAGACCTGGCTCCCTCTTCTTCTGCAAATGTCTCGCCGACCACCTTATCCACTACCCAAATGGCCGGATCTGCTCATGCAACCAGGGATGTTCATGCCACAACCGCAAATCGACCGAATGCACCTCACGTCATGGTTCCTACTTGGTTCCATAGCGCAGAGGCACTTTGTTCACAAGAGGTGAAACGTATATTACTTCACAGCAGGCGTGACTCCACACGAAAGACTTACCTTCATAAGTGGCATTGGTTCCATTCCTGGTGTGCAGCCAACAGGTTTGATGCGATGGCCACCCCACTCTACTACATTCTGGACTATGCCCTACATTTGCACCAGTCTAAACTGGGTCTTTCATCCATTAAAGTCCATCTTTCAGAGATTTCCGCATTCACACAATCAATTGAAGGGTTTTCAATTATGTCTCACTCGATGACTAAATGTTTCCTGAAGGGATTAATGAACTTACACCCTCCGCACAGAAAACTTCCTATGCTGTGGGATCTTGAGTTCGTTTTGGATGCTCTCGCGTATCCACCTTTTCAGTCTCTAGCCACATGTGACATTCAGACTCTCACCATGAAGGTGATATTCCTTCTAGCCATAATGTCGACAAGACGAGTCGGAGAATTGGCAGCTCTTTCAGCCGATCCTCCATACACTCTCTTCACCAACCAAGGGGTAATACTACGCTCACACCCAAAATTTCTACCGAAGGTGAATTCACAATTTCATATTAACGAACCTACAATACTCTCAATTTTTTACCCCAAACCACATGCAACGACTCACGAAGCCCGTCTACATACCTTAGACGTCTGCAGGGTGCTCGCCTTTTATCTGGATCGGACTCGCCCCTTCCGACAATCCCAACAGCTCTTCCTGTGCGTCGATAGGAAATCTAAGGGCCAACCGTTGTCTTCACAGCGGATATCTAAAATAATTGTGAAATGTATTACTACGTTCTATACTTTACGGAACAAGTCCATATCAACGCCTATTACGGCTCATTCCACTAGAGCAATGTTTACTTCTCTAGCTTTTCTCAAAGGAGTCCCAATACAAGACATGCACCATATGGTGACATAGTCTTCAGACATGACATTTGCTAAGCACTATACCGTCAATGCAATTGCTCGAAAATCAGTACTGGCCTTTGTGGTGTTGTCCACAGCAGACAGCTCTTAACTCCGATCCCCCCTCTGCAGATGAGGCTACTGCTCTATACTCACCTCAAGTGGAGCACCCACGGAGATATCACCGAAGAAGAAGACGAAGTTACTCACTGTGTGCAGTAATGATGTTTCTTCAAGGTGTATGTCCCCGTGGGTACTCCACAACCCACACTCCTCCCCTCTTTGGAGTTTCTCCTTATGTTTTTCAGGAGTGATCCGGTTCGGAGGAACTGGCGGGAAGCCAGACTCAGCGCAAGCTAACAATCAGCACGAGCAGTTCTTCTTCGAGTTGTTGCTCATGTACATTCGAATTAGGTGTGTGCACAGCATCTTCTGTTGGAGGCAGGATTGGAGATCAGTATAGATTAAACCAGGACCAATTGCAACACTGCAGTGTTCACAGCTGCATCCTCCCTAGCTTGTTGGGCAATTGCATAATGCGCTGTGAACGTGTGCACAGATGACCATGTGGCTTCCCTACAGATATCCAATATGGGAACCTACGTCAGGAAGGCATTGGGGGTGAGGAATGCCAGGCCCACAAGGCTCTAAGGCGTGCGCTTTCTGCGTGAAGTTTATGCCCAAAGGAGACCCTCACGATAGTTGTCTGAAGTGTCTGGGTGAGGGCCATCTTACAGAAGCCTGTAAGATCTGTAAGTCGTTTAAGCCATGCACTAAGAGGGAGAGAGACTCTCGTTTAAAATTTCTCCTCGTGGAGGTGGCGTTACAGCCGACACCGACTGGGCACTCTGCGGTGTGTAGTGCACCGGTGTCCACGCGCAATGCTCCATCTTGAGAGCGGGCCTCAGTATCGAGGGCTCAGCACCGTTCTCACTCCCCGGCACCGAAGAGGTCAAGAACATCCCGTGGTAGGTCTCTGAGCCAGAAGTCCAAGTCGGGCCTACACAGCAGTACCGAGTCTCCGTTGCCCATGTCCTCATCTACCACTGTGCATCGTAAGCGAGCGGGACGCCCATCCAGCCCAGGGCAGCTACCCTTA